GAGTAATAATCTTAAAGATATGCATCATCAGTGTTACTTTCTCATAGACAAATGAAATTCGGGTGAAATTCCTTTGCCTCTGACCCCCACATTCTCCCCCATGCTCCACATCGTGGGTCTGGTTAGTGCTCAATTCAGGGAGCAGAGTCCCTAGCCATGTAAGGCACAGTACTGTGGCTGACCAGCCTCACCTCTCCTTCCTGTCTCTGCTCACTTCCCCCTGAGCTGGGGTCCCTTTCCCCCTTTCCTCGGTTTCTTAACCATTTCCCTCCCCCAGACTGTCCATCAGCACCCTGTCCTGGATTCATCCAAAAGCCAAGACCAGATTGCCTGTACTGGCATTTGAGACTATGGTTGACCTCACTCTTCTTGTCCTCTCTCTCACTTTACTTTCTCACATATCCCCAACTGTCCTGTTAAACCTGACCAGTCAGCTCTTCCTGTGCTGTCCTCCCACCACCTGCCTGCCCACCCCTCAAGGCCACCTTGCATGCAGCCCCCTCCCTGAGGGCTCCCCTCACCACCTCACATGGCTGATCTCCTTCCTTTGTGAACTCCCTTGGCAATTTGTCTAAACTTGTCATCTAGCCCTTATCATGTTGTACCTGATGTGTGAAATCCATCTCTTCCTCTAGACTCTAAGCTTCTTTTAGTTGGCTGTTTTTAGTTGTTTTTCTGCAGCATTCTTCCCTGAACACAAATACCATTATCCTATTAGCATGAAATGCCATTTTTCTGCAGAATGTGTTTTGTTTCTGTGCTATAACCTCAAGAAGCCAGAATTCATCACTCTTAGTCCTGTGCTTCCAGAGCACTGGTACAAAGCTCCATAACACATACCTTCACGGTGGTTCTGGAGGGAGTTGTGGAAGGGAACAGGAGAGTGCAGCGCTTCACGGCATGGGCATCCAAGCCAGCCTGCTCCACCACTGCCTACTCATGTGACTTCAGTGAGTCACACAACCTCTCAGTGCCTCAGCTGCTTCATCTGTGAAATGGGGATAATAGTATCTATCTTAAAGGGTCATCATGAGGATTAATATATGTGAAGCACTTAAAATAGTGCCTGTTACATAGTAAGTACCCAGCAAAGGTTATCTGTGTAACCAATATCCCTTGAGGGACACTAGGAAATATAACTTGGGGGCTTTTTGAGCCCTTCATTCAAACCAAAGGGTCAGGTTTGTATCAATGTATATTTAACACACACACACACACACACACACACACACACACACACACACACCCCTTCCCTTCCAGCCTTTCTCTCTCCCCCTCTCTCTGTCTCTCTTTCTCTCCCTCTCCTCTCTCTTAAATCCAATATGAAGAGAAACACCCCAACTGAAAAATGGGCAGAAGATTTGAACAGACATTTTACAAAAGAAAATATATGAAACAACAGTAAGCATGTGAAAGGGTGTCCAACATCATTAGTCATCAGAAAAATGCAACCTGAAACCACAATGGGGAAACATTACAATGCCTAAAGGAAGAAGAGACAGACAATACCACATGTTGACAGGCATGTGAAGCATAAATTGCTGGTGGAAATGCAGGCACAGTACAGCCACTTGGCATAACAATATGGCGGTATCTTATAACAGTGAACCGGTAAACATATATATACTTACAATAGGAATTAGCAATTTCACACCTATGTATTTACCCAAGAGAAATGTGTGCCTATGTCTACACAAAGACATGGATGTGACTGCTCACAGCAGCATTCTTCTCAATACCCCCGAACTGGAAACAACCAATGGAATACTAGTCAGCCATCAAAAGGAATGAAATATTAATGTATGCAACAACATGGATGGATCTCAAAAACTTAATGCTCCATGTACGTTAGAGACTATATGCTGTCTGATTCTATTTGTATGAAATTCTAAACATGGCAAAACTAAACTGACAACAGCAGTGGCTTCCTGTGGCTGTCATCAAGGAGGACATCAGCAAGTTGGAGGAGAATACCTTTCAGGATGAGGGAACCATTCTGTCTCTGGGTTTCGGTGGTGGTTACACAATTACCAAACTTCATCAAACCAGACACTTAAGGGGCGCCTGGGTGGCGCAGTCGGTTAAGCGTCCGACTTCAACCAGGTCACGATCTCACGGTCCGTGAGTTCGAGCCCCGCGTCAGGCTCTGGGCTGATGGCTCAGAGCCTGGAGCCTGTTTCCGATTCTGTGTCTCCCTCTCTCTCTGCCCCTCCCCGATTCATGCTCTGTCTCTCTCTGTCCCAAAAATAAAAAAAAATAAAAAACGTTGAAAAAAAAAAAAAAACCAGACACTTAAAATGGGTGAATTTTGTTGAATGTAAATAATGATGTAAAAAAGAAAAAACAAACCCAGAGGCTGATTAAGTGTCTTTCAGCTGGTTGCGCCAGTGCCTTATGTGTGGTGTCTCGGGGCCTGCCAAGCTGACTTCCTTATTGGAAATAAGGTCATTCGAGGCTCATTTTCTTTCTCTTGCCTCAGAGCTGCAGATCCAGCTGACATTGACCGATTTCCAGTGGGCACCATAGTGTGTCCCAGGCGGAGGCTGACGGAAACAAGCTTGTGTTTCTGTCACTAATGATATAAGCCTTCATCGTATTCTCTGCCAGGCCATGTTGGTTGTCATTACACCCATTGAAGAAGAGAACAGAGTAATAATGAGCTGGGTGTTATCGGCTCACAAATAATTTATAATGGGCAAACTAGGACAGGAACAGAGCTTTTTTTGGCTAAGGAGGCTGCATGTCACTCTTAAAATCTAGGCCAAAAAATTATTTATAATGCATAGACAGTCACTCAGAAAGTTGAAAGGTTCCTTTCTTCTCTCCCATGTGTTTGAACATTAGGCTTTTTACCCTAGACTAGCAAAAGGCACCTTAGGGTCTTCCTTGGACACCTACATTCAGTCTGCAACTCTGAGAACACATGTGAGGGCAGTTACTTGGTTAGGAATGAGGCCTTTGTAGAAACCCCTATCCAAGGATAGGAATGAAGGAAAAGTCAGGAAAAGGAAGAGATCCTTACATATGGGTAGTGACCACACACTTGAGAAGTGAGCTTTAAAGAATTGCCTCAGGTGTTATCAGAAAGGAGCCCAAACCAAGATATTATCAGCAAAGGATGGTTTGTAAACAGGTGTGTTGAAGGCAGGTCATGTGTCCTCAGGCAGAGGCAAGCAGAGTCGTTATGGCCATCGTGGCATCTAAGAAAAGGATATTTTCATCATGTCCCTGTGTTTACAAGGGCTGTTTGGGAAGGCAGAATCATTATTGACATTGATACCTGTAGATGTGGATACCTACCCCAAGGGAGGCCAGTTCCCCTGATGGGAACTTGCTGAATTGTCACAAGCTACCAGCACCCAGTCCTAACTTCATGCTGGCCAACAGCCTCCTGATAAGTGATCAGCCGTCCTGGGCACCTTGATGCCAGACCCCAGGGTATGTAGAGCAAGTAGACCATGTTTAACGGGCCCTGCCACTGTGGCTCCCGCTCTCTCAGGGAGCCGACTTTGTGGAACAAGCCCACCCTGGGTGAGTTGAAGAAGGTTGGTCAGCTCTCCCAGCTCTGGCTCACCTTTGACTAAGGTGACTGTTGATGAGGAGCTAGTCCCGTGGGGCTGAGATCCAGCCCCTGGGTCTGTGGCATGTCATTAAAGATCAAGTCTTCTAGAGCAGTGCTGCTTCCCAGACCTCCTCAGGGTAAGGGCAGGCTTCCTGTGGCACGTGCTCCTTATTTAGCCATCTAGGAGAGTGGCCCCTAGAGCCATGTTTTCCTCTTCCAGTTCCTGAGATTCCCAGGCCTCCTCAGAGGTCCCCTCCTCTCAAGCCAAAGGACTCTACTTTGTTCTCTGTATAGATTGTGCAGTGTAGCATGTCATTTTTTAAATATACTTTATTGTTTTTGGAGTAGTTGTTCACAGAAAGAGTGGAGAAAAATAGAGCAGAAGATACAGAGGTTTCCCATATATCCCCCGTCCCTACATATGGGCAGCCTCCCTGTAATCAGCATCCCCCACCAGAGTGCTACATTTGTTCCAATGGATGAACCTTACGTCGACACATCATTATCACCCAGAGTCCACAGATTACATTAGCGCTCTTGGTGTTGTACGTTCTGTGGGTTTGGACAAATGTATAATGATGAGGATCCACCATTATAATATCATACAGAGTAGTTTTGCTGCCCTAAGGTCCTCTGTGCTCCACCTATTCATCCATCCCCACCTCAACCCCTGGCAGCCACTGATCTTTTTACTGTCTCCATAGTTTTGCCTTTTCCAGAATGTCATATAGTTGGAATCATACAGTATGTAGCCTTTTCAGATTGGCTTCTTCCACTTAGTGATATTCATTTAAGGCTCCTCTATGTCATCTTTAAAAGGGTTCATCTGCTCTTAGCAGCTTGACAGCCATATGCGTTCTCTGTCACACGTTGGCCCTGGGTCGAGCATGGCTTGCAGACGGTTATGCTTCGTCTCCCCAACAGGATGACGAGTTCTGGGGCAGAGGCCAGGACATATGCCCTGTGTGGCACTGGCTCCCTGCCAGACACTCAGGGAATTTGGTTTGCCCTTGGAACTCAGTGCCAAGGGCTGGGTGCTCTGGGTTGGAGGGGCTATACTTAAAGCCTAAGGAAGGGCTATCAGAGCAAAACCCTCTGGGCTGCAGCCATGTACACAGCATGTCATTTGCTCTCTGAAGGTTAAAGCTCCATGAAGTCAGAGTGAGCAGCATCTGGCAACAGAGCTAATCTGTGTAAGATTTCGCATCTGAGTCAGAACTTACTTATTAACACTGTCTGTCTTTGTGGCCAAGAGTCTAGCAAAACATTTTTCTGTCCCCATTAGTCAACGCCAAAATGTGGCAAATGTTACTTTCCCTGAAAGGTTTCTGATCAGATGATCACAACAGAACACACTCTGATAGAAAATACTTCTATTTCATAATAAAGCCTTTATGATGTGGAATGTTCTAGTAACCTGTGTGTTCTGTGCTTACAGAGCTTCTCGAAACAAGTCTGAGAAGAAGCGTCGGGACCAGTTCAATGTTCTCATCAAAGAGCTTAGCTCCATGCTCCCTGGCAACACGCGGAAAATGGACAAAACCACCGTGCTGGAAAAGGTCATTGGATTTTTACAGAAACACAATGGTAAAGATTACGCCTCTCTCCATTTTTATCCCATTCCTGTCCTTTCATTTGACGATGACTTCATCAAGCTGGTCTTCTGCTTGGTTCCGGCAAAGCCCGATCTCATCAGTCACAGGCTTCCTCTTGCAAAGGCACTCCACCTTCTTTAATATCCCACCTCCAGCAGGTTTGGGAGAGGACACTTACCTCCCAAATTGCTTTACTAGCCAGAGGAGAGAACCCAGAGCCGCCTCACAGGTAGCACCCAGCCCAAGTGGAGTGGTGTTAACAGTGGAATGTCTTGATTTAAAAATGGCTGCAGCAAGCATTTTTCATTCAGCCCTGAAGAGATGCAATGCCCAAGAATTCATTTTCCACTGGACGGGAATGTACTGGTTTCTCCAACAACCTCTGCCATGGCCCTGAACTCTTTGGCCTTCTGAGCTACACCATGAAAAAAATAGTAATTTACTTACAGTCAAATACTTTTTTTAAAAAATATAATTCATGTGCCATAAAAGTCACCATTTTAAAGTTTATAATTCACTGGCTTTAGTCTATTCAAAGGGCTGTGCAACCATTAACACTAATTTTGTCATCCCATAAAGCAGCCACTCCCCATCTCCCCTCCCTCCAAGTCCTGACAACCACTAACCTACTTTGTCTCTATATATTCTAGGTATTTCGTACAGATGGAATCCTCCAATATGTGGTCTTTTGTTTCTGGCTTCTTTGACTTAGCATCCATAGTTTAGCAAGTGTCAGTAATTTCACTCCACTTTATGGCCAAACAATACCAATTGTATGGATATACCACATTTTGCTTATCCATTTATCAGTTGAGGGTTTTGTGTTGTTTCCACTCTTTGGCTGTTACGAACAATGCTGCTATCTGTGGACCTTCGTGTACAAATTTTTGTGTGGATATATGTTTTCAGTTGTCTTGGATATATATCCAGAATTAGAATTGTTGGGTCCAGTGGTAACTCAGGGAACTGCCAAACTGTTTTCTGCAATAATTTCATACTCTCAGCAGCAGTGTGTGAGGGTGTCAGTTTCTCCACATCCTCACCAACACGATATTGTCTGGTTGTGGGTGTGGGTGTGGGTGTGGTGTGGTGTGTTTATTATAGCCTTCCTAGTGAGTATGAAGCAATATCTCATTATGGTTTTGGTTCGCATTTCCCTAAAGATTAATGATGTTCAGCTTTTCATGAACTTATTGGCCATTTATAGATCCTTCTTTAGAGAAATGTCTATTCAAATCCTTTGTTGATTACTTATCTTTTTTTTAATGTTTTATTATTTATTTTTGAGAGTGAGGGGCAGAGCATGAGCAGGGGAGGGGCAGAGAAAGAGGGAGACACAGAATCTGAAGCAGCTCCAGGCTCTGAGCTGTCAGCACAGAGCCCAACGTGGGGCTCGAACTCATGAACTGTGAGATCATGACCTGAGCCAAAGTCAGACACTTAACCAACTGAGCCACCCAGGCGCCCCTACTTACCTTTTGTAATTGGAGTATTTATCTTTTTTTGTTGGGTTGTAAGAGTTCTTCATATATTTTGGATACTAGACCCTCATCAGATGTATATAATTTGCAAACATTTTTCCCATTCCATGGGTTGCCTTTCACTTTCTTACAGATGTCCTTTTACAAAAGTTTCTAAGTTTGAAGTCTAGTTATCTTTTTGTTGTTGTTGGTTTTGTGTGCCTTAGGTGTCCTAAGAAATCATTGTCTAAGGATATGAACATTTACACCACCAATGTTTTCTCCTAAGAGTTTATAGTTTTAAACCATAGATAAAGCCTCAAGTATACAAGCTACAGGGTGAGCATTTAAGTATTTGATTCATTTTGAGTTATTTTTTGTATATGGAATAAGATAGGGTGTTGAAATTCATCCTTTTGCATGTAGATATCCAGTTATCCCAGCGTTCCTTTCTTTTTAAAAAAAATTTTAACACTTACAGAAAATATACAAATCATAACTGTACAATTGAATTACTTATCACACTGCTTATTAGTGAACACAACTAGGAACCCAGGTCAGTAAATACAAGCTTCCCCAAAAGATGGCCCTTCCTTCCTATCTACCTCTGCTTTCCCCAGAGGTAATCTCTGTTCTGACTTCTAATACTAGAGATTGGCTGTTGGGACCTTATTCAGATGGAATCATACATTATGAACATGATGTTTATGAGGTTAATCTGTGTTCTTCCAATGTTCTGACTGGTTCGTTTTCATTGGTATATACTATTCTATTATATGAAGTTACCACTTGAATCTGTCCTTGACCTTATGTCTTTCTCAAATAGCCTTCTCTCCCTTTTACCTTTTTCCTTTAAACCATTTTACCTCTTAGTACTGACCACCCTGCCCTGCTGCTCACCTATGGATGGTACCAAAAAATTGGAGGAGTTAAGAGGGTTCAGTAGATATTAACAAGCAAAAAGAGCAGAATTCTTTTTTTCCTTAACCATGACACCAAAAATAATAAAGTCAGAAATGTCAGGTTATTGAGGAGATAATTACAGTTCTTCTGTGCTTACAGTGATGCTTCTCTTTCACTGAACATTTTCCTAGACAAGATGATTTCATGGAAGAGGGCACAGCTAGGACATTAGAAAGTTTCATTATACTTGCTGTTCTTTTATTATTTCTTTAATAATTGTATATACCTATTAAAAATATGACAGTAATGATACATCCTCCTTCTTTTTTTTCCAAAGCTGCCCAGGGGAGTGTAAAGAGTATGTTAATTGCTTTTGCTAAAAGCCAGGGAAGAACAATCAAGCAGGATTGGAATAAAGTGTTGCAGCAGTATTCGATTGCCCCAATAATTTAATCAGAATGGTTATGTTTCCTAAATAATGATTTAGCTAAGTGAAATAGCAGGTTGGTTTGATTACTGAGATATTTTGCGCAAATTACTCAAACTAGGTCAGTGCCACTGAGAAGCAGGACAGCTGTTAAATAGGACAGCTGGGATCAAGTTCATCAGTGTGACATTTATGCTGGGCTCTGTCTGCTGCAGAATTACAGAATTGTCAAGTTGGGATCTGGAAAAGATCAGTCAACAGAAATGCAGCCTCCTAACACCAGGAGCACCCATATCCATCTCACCTTTTTTATAACACTAAAGACTGGTTTGTACAGCCCCCTTAAATGCAACCAGGATCACCTTGGGATCTTACTTATCCTTTGTGATACTATATTCCAAAAAAACCCCAAAAAATCCATAGTAGATTTTATGGAGGAATTCAGTGGTTGGACCAAAATTTGGATTAAATCAAAAACAAAAACAAACAATAACTTCACTTATAATCCAAATGGACATGAACTCCGCAGGCATCTGCAATAGGGTAGAGAATAACATGGTCAGCCTTTACTCAGTCCTCACCATGAGCCAGGCAGGCATTGTTGTAAGGATTCTTGTATAGTTATACAAATGAGCTTCATAGCAGCTCCCCTAAGTTAGTATCATTTCACAAATGAGACAGCTGAGGCACAGAGACGTTAGGTCAGTCACCTGAGTCAGCCAGCCATGATAATGGGGAATCTATATGAGGCAGTCTGCCTCCAGAGCCCAAGTTTTTAATACTATACCATACTGTTTTTCAACAAGGCATAGTTCATGGGGCTCTTACAGATATTTGTATCATAGCTGTGCTATAGCTGTCCATTAGCACAGCCATTTAGACTACTGGTTCTCAACCTTGGCTGCCCATTAGAATCTCCTGAGGAGCTTTTAAAATACATGTAACCAGGTCTCACCTCAGAGACCAATACATCAGAACATCTAGGGTGGAATCCCAGTGGTGAGCTAGAGCTGGCTCATCCTGGCTTGCAAAAGATGATTATTAAATTTTCAGGAGTTTTACAAGCTAGTTGACAGCTTAGAATCAGCCACCATGGGAGTATTTACACCACAGATATGGCAGAGGGCTTTTTTTTTAATTTGTAGGGATGGAGAGCCTTTTACTAGCACACTACTGGGTAAGGCACAAGCATGTGTATTTTTAAAGCTCCTCAGGTGATTCCAGTGTGCAGCCAGAGTTAAGAACCGTGGATTTAGACATGCTTTCTGCTTTCATGATAAAGCAAGACCACATGATAAGTAAGAAAAGATGATTAGGTCCAGGTAGTCGTTATAATTACTTATAATGACTCTTTCCTCAATAATCTTTCAAGCATCCCCGTTTTCTCAGCTTGGGAGATAAATCTTGATCCATATGTATTCTCTTTGAAGTAATCCAGATCAAACTGAGAACCTGACCATGTTTCTTTGTAGATAAATTTTGTATCATCAGTATCTGTTTTAAGAGATAAGTCCCTAAATTATGTAAATAGCAGTGTATCACACGGCCTTATCCATGCCCATCTAAATGTTGCTTCTACAGGGCCAGACTGACCTGCATGCTTTCCTTTTCTTGTGTGAATCTCAAGCTGATTTAGGGATTTTCTTCCAACATCAAATCCTGTTCCTCATTCATGCCCCTTCAATTTGTCTGCCTTAGTGGAGAAGGAATGAGGTTGTGTGAAGAAGCTGCAGAAAAAAGAGAAACATCTTTGTTGGACAGGGTAATGTTAACCCAGCTTAGTAGAGAGTTTTTACCCCATTTCCAAGACTTTGCTTTGACTACATATATCTCAAAGACATACTTCTCCTATTTCATGAATAACAGGAACAATTAGAAGGCGAGCACTCTAGGGCACAACTACAACTTATACTATAGTAGAATTTTGGGGTTTAAATATTCATTGCAATGTTTTCCTGAAAACAAAATGCTCCCAGGTGGTTTTGTTTCCCTTGCTATTTAGAAATTACTTTGACCACACCTCTTTGCTAACCCTGCCTGTCACCTATAGCTTCTAATATTGGAACCTCAAATGCCAATGGAGACATGATTATAACACTGAACTTTATTTCCCAGTTTAACATTTTTCTATTTGCCTTGAGACATTTTATCTAACATAGACACCCCCCCCCCCACACACACACACACGCATTTTTAATATGCTGTGAATTGATGGGGCACCTGAATGGCTCAGTTGGTTAAGCATCCGACTTCGGCTCAGAGCATGATCTCATGGTTCGTGGGTTCGAGCCCTGCATTAGGCTCTGTGCTGACAGCTCAGAGCCTGGATCAGATTCTGTGTCTCCCTCTCTCTCTGCCCTTCCCCCACTCATTCTCTCTCTGTCTCGGTCTCTGTCTCTCTCTCAAAAGAAAACATTTTAAAAAGTTAATATGCTGTGAATTGAGCCTTAACTTCTAAGGATTACAATCAAATTGTTGAAATACAAAGTGAATAAAATGGCTGCTCTCAGTATTCTTATGCTGGTGTTTGGAAAGTATCTAAGCCATACTGAATGATCTAAAAGTTACTTACAGAAAAGAAATGGGTCTTTCATTTTCCTTTATTGCTAAGTTGAATGAACCATTGTCTAAATCAACTTTGGACTCCTGGAAAGACTCTTCTCCTGGACAGTTAATCTACAACTTGATCCTAATGGTCAAAAGAACTTTACAGATGAGTTTATGTGTTAGGGAAAGGGGGAGACCTTTATGGCATTTATTTATTAACATGGCTTTGGTAGATTTCTTTCCTAAGTGGTCAAACTGTGGCAACCATTTGAGGAAATGAGAGTTTCACCCTCTCTTCCTTGCCTCGGCTGGCACCCTGGAATGAACACTGGCCCAGAATTGCGTGTAGCACACTGCCTCTGCTTCCCAGGATGCATTTCACCTTGTGCAGCCTCTGGCCACAGTGGCAGAAATAGCTTGTTCATTTAGAATCTTGAAAGAAGAAACCATCTTGGGAGCACCAAGAAAATAATCCCTAAAGAAACCTCGTACTACATAAAGTGGAGCAAAATGCTGGTTAAGATGGAGGATAAACTGCAGGAAAAACAAATATATCTGATATGGCATTTGATCTCTCTGTAATAATATTATTAGGAACATTTTAGTAATAAAAAATACACTTTCAAAAATGCAAGAGAACTAGGGCACATAAGGAGTTTTGTGTATTCCAATGACTACTAAATTTACAAATGTGAGTAACATCTTCAGTACAAGGTAGTCACCATAACAAGAAAATTATAGATAAATCTAGAAAAAGTTTGACAAGAATAAATTCTGGCTGTAAAAGCCACTAAGTAACATATATTTGTCTAACATTTTGAACTTCAGTACCTGGAAATGCTGAAAACTACACTACATCCTGCATAGACACAGTAGGTCATTTACTACAAGTCTAAGATGTTTCTGGAATTTTGAAAACCCCAGATCTCCAAAGTGTTTTGCTTTGCCTTGACCATAAAGAGGCAGCTGAGGAACTCGTCCTACCATCCCAGTCGATGTTTCCATTACCTTCATAGGTGACAACTACCTAACCCCCAACTGCTGATGGTGGGCTTTGTCCTGTAGAAATTCAAGGGCTTTGTGCTGCTTGCTACTGGCAGGCACTCCAGCCATGCAGAGAGTAGAGCGCTCTTCTCCTGAACCTCATTAAAAGGGTGTGAAAACATCCAGAGACCTTTTTAAGTCTATTACATCCAAAGTCCCTAGTCCTTAGAAATCAGGGTAACATATTTCTTTATACTGGCTTCTTTACATGACACAGAAGTTTACACAAAAATTACACAGAAATAAGCATGCTTTGTTTGTTAATTCTAATTCCAAGGTGACTTTTAACATAAAAGTTTGTGTTTTATTTTAGAAGTCTCAGCGCAAACGGAAATCTGTGATATTCAGCAAGACTGGAAGCCTTCATTCCTCAGTAATGAAGAATTCACCCAGCTGATGTTGGAGGTGAAATGCACTTTCAAATTAGCTTCATTGGTTGCAAATCAAAATGTAGCTGCTTGTTCCAGATAAGACCCTGTGCCCAAAGTGAACAACCATTCTTGACTCTGGAAAGAGGTCTTGAAACAGATACCCCTTGGAGCTCTGCATGCTATTGCTTATATTTTGGCTACTGAGTTTGGCAGTAGAAGCAAGAATTCCCAAACTGAATGTGAGTGTGTGCTGGGGCATCCGTGACTGCAAGGAGAACCCCACTCTTGGGCTCCCAGTCAGAGGGACACCCAATCTTGGAGCTGGGAAGGGCAAGGGTGCAGGTAGGTAGACAGAGGGGAAGGGGGAGGAAGAATTAGTCTCTGCACTGACTTTTGGCTCAGAGAGCCTCCTCCTTAGAATGCAGCGATTATGTTTCCCTTAGTAGAACACGTTTTGAAAACAAAATTCTTTTCAAGTTAGGCTTTGAACTTGAGTTCTGTTACATCAACATGGCATGTGGGTGTCAACTGTAAGTGACCCTGTGCCTCCCTGCCCTTTCTGGGCTGAGAAAGATGCTCATGTGTCTTCCTCCAGAAAGTTAGGTGCCCACGCCCATCTCCAGGGTTGTATTTGTGGAAATCTGGCTGATCCGGGCCAGTGGGCTTCTTCAGTGTCCTGTGTCTACATTTGGGTGAAACTGCACAGATGAGGATGAGTCGCTACGGAAACGTGTGGCTGGGTGTTCTGACTTCCAAACTGGGCGTTAGTCTGGGAGCGCATGGACGTGATAGTGGAGGGAGAGAAGGCTCCAGACCTGGCACGTCTGGGCCCTTGACTTAGAAGAGGCAACAGGACAAATGAGTTCAGCGAAAGGAAGTTAGGCACTGGCTGCATGTCCGTGGTTCCTGGCAGGGTTTTTGGAGAGTGGCTTCTTTCTGTATCTCCTCTTAGGTGCCTGTACAAGACTGATGTAAACTTTAATTTACATAGATTAACTATGCAGAAAACAGAAAGTACTGGAGTAAGAAAGTGCCAGAACGAAGATGTCCAAATATTATGAAATATAAGCGCATTAATGAACATTTGCATAAAATGAAAGATACTTAAATCTGCATGTGAACTATATTTAAAGAAAATACAGAACTTTTCCAGAAGCAATGCATTTTAAGTATGTTAAATTTAGACCAGCTTGCGAAATATAATGTTGAATTAATGTATCATTATGCTACTTTACATAAACCATTTTATCTTTTAATTCTTAGGGAACAGTAGTTAAAACGCATAACCCTATAGTACCCAGCCTCTTTTTCAGAATGTGTAGCACAGCCTTCTTTCTTTCCCACTGAGTTTCAAGAAATCAAAAGTGTTTGAGGAAACAAGACTTTTATAAAGTTAAAAATGGATACATATTTGGGCTGAAAGGCAGGACTGAGATTCAGTAGACTGGAATTTCTAGAAAAAGATTTTTAGATTTGTATGTATATTCTTTAAAGATTTTTAAAAATTTTGTTTTGAGAGAGAAAGAGAGAGAGAGCACACGAGCAGGGGAGGGGCAAAGAGAGAAGAGAGGGGCAGAGGATCCTAAGCAGACTCTGTGCTGACAGCAGAGAGCTCGATGTGGGGCTCAAACCCACCAACTGTGAGATCATGACCTGCACTGAAGTCAGATGCTTAAACGACTGAGCCACCCAGGTGCCCCTGTATGTATATTCTTTATGCACTTTCCCCTGCTCCCAGTATAGACTTCTTGAAGTGGATCTAAAGGAATCATGCTAGGTGAGTGAATTAAGCCTGAAATTAAGACTGTACAACAAGCAGGTCTTCTGGACACATTGCAGCTTTGAGGAGTCTGGGAAACCCACCAACTAGTACTTCTGATTGATCTTTGTTTTAGACTTTTATTCCAACCTGTTGCTCCTCAGTAGACACAGACCTGGTGATGAGTAACTGTACCTCCAGTATATTCTCCCAGATGGCCTGGGCCCTGGAGTGGCCCCCACAGGATGATGTTGTCACCATTTGCCACTAGGCAATTTCTAACTAGTTTGTGTCTCTTTCTAGCTGCACAGCCCTCTCCTTTTCCAGAGCCGTTTCAGGGAATGTGACGGATTCAGATGCCATGTCTTGATGACCATGAGGTTCCTCTCTGTTTCTGCCCCTCCCCCACTTGCACTCTGAATGAATGAATGAATGAAAGAAAGAAAGAAAGAAAGAAAGAAAGAAAAGAAAAGAAAAGAAAAGGAGGAAGGGAAGGAAAGAAGGGAAAGCTCTTGTTAATTGGCAATTAAGGAATTTGTAGTACTTCTTCTGAATTTTATTCAGAAAAGCTATAGTGATCTTTTCTCATAGCCCAGAGGTTGTCCCAGGGAACACAAGAAGCATCAGACACAGGAATTGACATAAAGGGGTGTTTTCATGTCTTTCTGGCATGTGGCAGGTATAAAATTTGGGCCATTATGGTGTTTTGGGTGTCCCCGAAGCTGTTCTCACAGTCAACTTTACTTTGAGAGGGACGCATGACTTCCCAGTCACAGAGTGTTGAGTCACTCAGATGGTACTGAGGGGACCTTCTAACACCACAACAAGCATTTTCCAAGCAGTGACTCAGCGCACGTCTTGCGCATTGGATGGGAAACGCCAATAAGCTGATGAAAGTTATCTTCCATCTATAAATACCTTCAGCTCTTTAACACCCACATGCTTTACAAATCCAAGAGGGGCTTGGGCTCACTGTGCAAGATCATTTGTACTGTTTCTATTTTCCCAGTACTCTGCCCCACTTTTTCCTAAAAGGTCCAGCTGACATCCTCAACAGTGGCCCCACCTTGTAAAATTCACCGCCAGGAGGGCTGAAAATATGACTGGAAAAAAAACCAATTAGGAAAAGAAACAAAAGGTACCAGGATGTACCTCTGTGTTCACCATGACCCATAAATTTTATTGGGGGTTTTTTAATCTCCGCCCTATGGACATCTCAGACCTCATCATTCTTTGTTGGGGGGGAGCATCCTGTGCATCGTCGGATGTTTCAAAGCATCCTCAGCCTCTACCCACTAGATGCCAGCAGCACCCACCCCAGTAGTGATGTCTGCTGACAGTGCTAGATGTCCCTAATGGGGGCAGGGGGGAGGGGTCGCTTTGCCCCTCATGGAAAAACACTGATGTAATCCAAAAGGATGAGGTCCTTAAGAAACATGCTTTATATTAGTTTTCAGTCTTATATACTGCCATATGTAAGTATAAAATAACACATGACCCTAGTGTGCATTTTCCTGGTGAAGAGAACTCCCTCCCATTTTGGCACAGTGCGTCTTGTGTGCAGTTAGCGGACTGTTTCTGATTCCTGCTGCAGTGCACTTAGCTGCACCCACCTAACAGACAATGCATGCCCTTTTGGCAGTGCAGACCTCCAGTAACACCCGGGAGGAACTAGCTGAATGCATACAAAACGTTTCCAAAACTTTCTAAGCACATATTTCGGTGTGGCTTTTTTCCCCCTTTAAAGCAGAAAAATCCTCACATTCAGAGAAGATTTTACTTCAAAGATACTGTCAATAAAGCAACAGTGATAGGTTTACAGTAAGTATCCACCTGAGCCTTTTACTCCCTCAGAGATTTGTTTTCTGGTGAGATGGGCTTTGTTTTAATCTTTTCCATCTATTCTGGGCACCTATATAGCCCGTAGCCAAGAGGACTCCATTCAGAATTACATAGTCTGAATTTTAGAAATCACCTTGCATATCTTATGAAAGCATCATGAGAATCCAGTAAAGAATCTAAAAACAAAACCGCAAAGGTGTCTGTAAGAAAATGTTGACGGCTGGGGTGCCTGGGTGGCTCAGGTGGTTGAGCCTCCAGCGTCGGCTCAGGTTATGATCTTACAGTTTGTGAGTTCAAGCCCTGCTTCGGGCTCACTGCTGTCAGCTCAGAGCCTGCTTTGGATCCTCTGTCCCCCTCTCTCTGCCCCTCCGCCACTTGCACTTTCTCTCAAAGAAAGAAAGAAAGAAAGAAAGAAAGAAAGAAAGAAAGAAAAACATTGGCAGCCTCCACCCCTTCTTTCCTATCAGAAGCATCTACAGCAGCATGCCTCACATACAGTAGACACTCAGTAAGTAATGTGAATGTTCTTTACAAACAGTTCCTCCAGGAGGTATTCCTCCTATGGCAATGAATGAAGGCAGAGGTTGACCCTGACTGACAGTTGTTAATGCATCTGTTAGGTCCAGTATCTTCCGGTAAATGTTTCCTGCTGAACTCAAAGCCATATTGAGGGTAGAGGGATGGGAACCATACAATATCACTGACATCTTTTAATGGTAATTGAGGTGTTTCTGATTTAGCCCAACGGGATGCTTATCATTAAACACTACTTAGGTAGTTTTCATGGCTAAATTTTGTCTCATGATATCAACAGGTAGGATTCCAGGGAGTCCTTTACTGCTTTGGCAAGCACTTTGCCTAGGCTAGACGAATCCGCGTACGAAATCCTCCTGTGCGAGGCTGAAAAGCGTGGCGAGGTTATTTGTGGAAATATTCTAAGAGTTACACCACAAAGTCAGTGTCGTGACAGGGGGTCCTTTGCTTCAGTGACATCCTCCTCCATAAAAGCACGGCTAAGGAGCCTTCCACTGTTGCATTTTCCGCAGGCGTTAGACGGCTTCATCATCGCAGTGACCACGGATGGCAGCATCCTCTATGTTTCAGACAGTATCACGCCTCTCCTGGGGCATTTACCGGTAAGTGTCTGCTCTGCTGACCTTTGCCAGTACACATTATCATCTTACCTTGAGAACCATTCAGATCTCAGATCAGGGGTGACGTAGGTATGAGGGGGTGTGTGCGTAAGAAAAGCTAATGGTGTTCTCAGCAGGAACTTCCCTTCTAGAGGAAGGGCAGACGCAGGCATGTGCCATTCTGGAACAAGCGAGGCACCAAGATCTTGGCAAACCCCGACCTGTCAGGGGGACATGGGAGCAGGTCCTCACCCTCTGTAGCCCAGAAACCATGCAGCAGCTGAACCGATGAGAGAGTCCCAGCACAGTTAGCAGATCTTAGAGCCTGTACCGAGGCTGATGGGTGTCCCTCCAAGGGAAAAGCCGACTTCCTGGGTCAAAGCAGAGCTGGTGGAGGAATGTACAACAGATGGATGGTGATGGGGCGTGGTTTGGGGATCACTGAGGACATGTCTGAGATCACAAGTGGGTGGTGACACTTAATGGTAGTAAGGGATCTGTGATGGGGGGATGGAGGGTGGGGGGAGAGTTGAACTATTCTGAGAGGATGTAGTTGGACCAGGGAGGCCTTGGGGAATGAGAAGAGTGTGGACAGCAGGACAAGCCCTGCTGTCCAGGGGAGCCAGGTGGAGGCTCAGAGTGGGGGTGGGTGCTGCTTGACAAAAACCATCCTAGATGCTCTTCCCTCCCCTTCTTCCTCCTTCTTTTGCTACCTTCTTGCCTCTTTGCCTCTCCTCCTTTCTCCCTCTCCTCCTCCTCTCTACATAAGTCCTCCTGGCACCCTGCTAACCCCCACTCACCAAGCAGCACCTAGCCTGTGGAGGGTCCACCTCTGGGGATCTCTCAAAGGCGTTTGGCCGGCCTTCCACTTCCTGCCACACCATTATTTATTCCTACAGAGTGTGATCTTGAATGACAGCTCTACCAGGAGCATCCCAAATGAGATAAAAACCTCTCTTCTCTCTCCTCCCAACAAGCCCTGCCAGACCACCTAACCCCACCACTTCCCACTCCCCGCACATGGGTGGGTGGGTGGCCAGCAGATGTGATAAGGAGGGTAACTGCTTCCCCTAGTTCCTGTACAAAGGAAATCCTGGGCTAGGAAGACACTGGAGGACCATGGCCGCTTCTCCTTAGCTGCACCTGACAGAGAGCAGCGTGGCCTTGCTCTGTGAGCAGCTCTGCTTCCTTGGGGTGATGAACCCAGCTTTGCTACTGGCCCAGGATTCCATGCTGTCCTGGGTTACACTTGTCCTCGGAAGCCACTCCCCATTGCATCATTTCTGCAAATGACACTGTGTGGAGATCAAAGCCACTGTCCACATTTTTCCTTTGCTTGGTCATTGTGTGACATAGCCCAGAAAAGCAGTTTTTACCTTGCTAGGCAGATGCCTTTGAATTACCCCATAATCTGTCTAACCTCTGTGTTTTGGCCCACTCCCTGCACCATCTCCAAGTGAATTAGGTGGGGGTGGCGGGGGGGTGGGGCTATCTCCTCTTGATAGCTGTCAGAGAGGCTGGTTCTCATTTAGTCCCAAGGAGACGAAAGCACAGTTTCACCCTGGTTTTATCTGAGGCTAGAATAGTGATGAGGCCGATACGAGGAACACAGAAGTGATCCCACCAAATCAGCCCAGCTTCTTTGGGCTGACCTGAGGTGGCTGAGGAAAAAGAAGTGATGGGGTGCTTCTTCGGAGGAGTCTGTGTTTTGTCTTGAAGGGATGGACTGGGGTCATGACAGGCACCGATTGAAAGCAATGACATGGAGCCTCCTTAATGACCCAGGAATGAGATGCAGGAGCCCAGAGATGTTTGGGCAAATAGGATTTGTTCTGTTCTGCTTTATGCTTTAGTAATTATCTAATGACCCAGTTGCTATACATGACAGAGGGGAGTCAGAAAGTAAGTCTGGAATTCTGATTTGAAATTACGGAGCATTTTAGGACCACCTATGTGAATGATTCTGTAACTCTGGAAGGATCAGAAATGACCCTGTCTCTGGCTTATCAATGCTAGAGATTCATATGAATCATGAGCATCTGTCAATACACAGACCACACCCAGACACACAGAGTCAGCCCTTAAAATCTCGCCAGGGGAGGTGAGCTCAGGATGGGCAATCCCCAAACTTAACTTCTATTTAACTTACATTATCCAGTTTTTATCCAGAGCATCACCTTCTTCTTTTTTTTTTTGCTTGCATCTTTGTTCTCGTGGGTGGACAAGGGAGATTAAGGATGGATGCTTCCCAGGTGCCAATCAGTCACCGGCTGGTTCAGCAGAGGAGCCCATCCAAGAATACCTCTATCCCCTCTATTTTACAAAGAAGGAAACCCAAGGTGGCCTGGCCAGTGAAGTGTAGGGCAGGGCCTAACCCAGACATGACTGCCTGCAGAGCCCAAGCTCATCACTACTCGGCTCCGGTGTTATTCCTGATGCCAAGGGTTGGAGTTGTCATTTGGGAATTCTGCTTTTGGTTTAATTCACTTTGAGTCTGACTTTGTTACTACTCAGCATGAGCCGAGGACTTGTCCACAGCTTGTCCACAGACAATGCAGCCTTTCGAAAGGCCCACATGAGATTATTTTCCCTTAAGGGTTTGCAGTTTTGTTGAGAGATTTCACCTGTAAAACCATTAGGGACTAATCGGAAAATAGCCAACAAGTATTGAGCACTTACTATGTGCCAGGCACCACTAAGAGTGCCTCCTGTGAGTGAATATGTGTAAAGCACTTAGTACCTGGCACAGAGCTAGAGCTATATCACATTCGCTCTCCTTACCCTTATAATTCTTACAATGACTCTGTGAGATAGGTACTTACTCCAGTTCAAAGATGAGGAAGCTAAGGCACACAGAGGTTCAGGTTCTATAGCCAGTAAGTGGTGGGGCTGGAATTTGAACTCAGGCATTTTGACTCTAGGATTGGTTGCTTAACCACTACTCAGAATTCTATATAAGACAGAGTAAAGTTCAGTGTACTCTCAGGGTAGGGAGACTGGTTAAGAAGAGAGGATGGGGAACTGAAAGGTAGTGGTCAGTCTTCGTGGGAGAGGTGGCCATTGAGGGAGGGCACGTCCAACAGAGACGCAGTGTGGGCAGGGAGCAGGAGGCTGTGGGTCCCGGCAGCAGGGCCCCATCGGTATCAAAGGCTGGCACACCAGGGGTTAGGTCCCACTATCGCTTGCGTGGCCTGGGATTGGAGGCCCATCCATGATTGGGAAAGTTGGGGGACAAAAAGCAGCAAGAATTCCTTTCTATTTTGAGACTGTCAGGTTTATAGTCTCTCTGTCCCCTTCCTACTACCAGAAACTCAGACATGGCAAAAACTCCCATGATAGATTTCTGTATAGCAATCTTCTGCTGAAACATGCTAGAACTTTCTCTCCCAACTTGATAGAGAAAAAAAGAAGAAAATAGCTCAAAGAAGAAAATGATGTTAAGACAAAGTCAAAACTTTCCTGTGGTGGCGACACCAGTACATTTCAGTATCTAGAATTAACGAATACAGGTGGTCAAAGAAGAAACATGGGCATGGCGGATGAGTGTGCACATGGAAGACCAAGGGCTAGAGGGAGCTTCTGAAATGAAAACTTTCCAGGAAAGATCTAAGGGACTCTAAGTCACATGCCTCTGACAGACTTGGGAAAGAATCATATGGCTGAGGCAGAACCAAATGAGAGACTCAAAGTAGGCATAATCTGTGTTTCCTGTTTGGACTTTTGTTTGAGTTTCTAAAAAATCTTCCCAGGTTGTTGTTTTGATTTGTTAATGATTGCAATGTTTGCTGAATGGGGGGGATCATGCTAGGCCCATAAAGCAGAAGTCCTGTCTCCAGCCCTGAGCACAGACCCCATGTGGCTAAGTGTTCACTGGGTGATGGGCTGAGGTCTTAAATGGGGCTGCTACCTCAGGAGCAATTGCAAACAGCTCTGGGAAGTGCCTCAGAAGTGAGAAACATGGGCGTGGACAATACCACTTCCCCCGTGGGAGATAATCTAGGGCATGAGTGATTATAAAGTTGGAGAAATCTACAGACCAAAAATTACTTCTGTGGAATGCTGGTTCTCCTAAGCTCCAGCAAGCAGTGCAAGATCAAAGTGGAATAAGGGAACAAATTCCCGTGGTGAGGGTCACAGCAGGGAGAGGAGGTCACGAATAGGAAAGACAGAGCTCTGGGCTGTGTTACCACACAATGTAGCAGCAAGTCCGTGAAACACCTTCCAGGAAACATCGCTCTGCCCTCCCTTCCCCCTCCACCTGCCCTCACCTGCTGGAAGAACCTACCTGATCCCAGTCACCTGGTCAAAGGTAGCTCTTGGTGGGGGCCAAGCTGGGGGTCCCTCTGTCTAGGAGGGGTGTGGCAGGTGTGGCTACATGCAGCTCAGAGTTGGTCACAGGTTGAAAGAGTCCAGGTCACCAGTTAGATTGTTTTTATTTTAATGTGCCTTTTGATTTTTATAAAGCATACATGCAAAAGTATGTATAAAACATACCCGATTCAGTTTTTAAATTGACGATAAAGTGAACAGGAACATACAGGTAGCTGTCACTGAGGTGAAGAAACAGAATATAGCCAGGACCGTGGAAGCTCCTGTCTGTTCTTTTCCCATCATACCCCCACCTTCCAGCCAGAGGTGACCATCTTCCTGGCTTTTGAGATCATTGCTTTCTTGTTTTTCTTTGCAGTTCTACCAACTTGTGGTAGTTCAGTTCTGTCACTGAACACTGTAATTCAGTACTACCTTTTGTTTAACTTCATGTAGAATAGAGCCATAGGAAATGTACTCCTTTTGCTCAACGTGGTTTATGAGATCCATCCATCCCACACCGTTAGTAGTGGCTGTCATGGGTTTATTTTCACTGCTGCCCAGTATTCCACTGGAGGAATGGGCTAAAATTTCTGCATCTGTTCCAGCTTGGAAGTCTTAGAAAGGGCTTTTTGTGAACACGCTGCGTGTGTTTCCTGATGGACATCTGCAAGCACCCTATAGGGACTATGTGT